TTATGTCCACAGGAATGCAAAGGAAAGGACATTTAGGAGCACTAAGGGGATGGTGTTTTGTAAGGCATATAAAAACTGGCTTCCCAACAATTTCCTCCCCAGATTTTTAACCTTGTCAATGAAAACAATAATGAAGCACTGAATAACTGGAAAGAGAAAGGGTGACATTAACAAAAGTCTGACCTAAGATCACTAAACAACATCAAAAACCCAAGTAACGAGGCAACTTCCACTAAATACTGGGGGCCATACTTCTAAAGAAAGCTTGCCATTGGAAGTATGTTATTTATCTTGTCACAAACACACACACCTACCGCCCTGATTTCTTATTCCTAATGAGAAAGTCCATACATAAGACTAAGTGCTTTTTTCTGGTTCTGAAGGTAAAGGACAATGTGCCTGCTGTTAAACCTAGAGTTATGGCTATAGACTATTATCCTCCATGTGTTTTCAAAAGGATAACATTTCCAATACTAGATATTTGATTATTTCAAAATAACTAAATACTTACGAGCTGCTTTGATCTGTTTCTGTGTAGCTTTGTATCTTACATGGCCAAGTCCAAGTACTGCATAATGATCTTGGTTCTGATAAAGACACAAAAGGGAGTTGAGTTTGAAACAAAAGCAATATATCCTATCCCTTGTGTTTTGCACCCTAAAACAGTGTTCCCCAAAGTGATGTTCCCATGACATGAGTCCAGTGAGAGATTGTGTATAAAATGGGTTCTACGGTCATTTAAGGCTGGGAAATGCAGACTCTTGTATAGCCTTCTTGATGATTTGTATGTACAACCTAAACCTAATAAAGGCTCTGAGAAGTATTACAATTAAGAGAACGAGCAAGTAAACAGAAACCTGTACAACCTAGCATATTCCAAATGTACTTGACTGTAGAACCCTTTTTTCTCTTAAACCTATTAAAATCCTATGGCCATCCTTAAATTAAGATATAGCCAGGAAGATTTCAGAATTGAAGAGAACATTACAGCAGCCCTAGTAAGTTGGGTCAGGGCAGTGACAGGACAGAACTAGGAGCCTTTTGGAACAAAGAAGGTAGGTTAAATGGATATTTTGAGAAAGTGAAGGATGAGGCTTCTCTGGATAGAAGTACTGGCTTTCATTTCTGCTTTGGTTAACATCAGTGCAAATTTAGAAATTGAGGTAACAAAGGTAGTAAAGGCTCCTTCCAGAAATCATAGGGTGTTCTAGTACTGGAGAATGAATGGGGAAGAAGGGGAGTTGAAAGCAGAACACATGGGAGAAAAAAGTCAAATAGGGCTGGCTGGTTTCCCTTTAAATTCAGGATTATAAACTTTATAGGGATCGGCTCCTCTATTATACTGGGCAATCATACATTGCTACAGCTGGTTCACCTTTCCACTCACTAAGATTACTATTACATATTTTCTGTCCTCTAATCTTTCCTCAAACCTCACAGACCCTGCTCCACCCAGTCATCAATGGCCTTGCTTCCTGCTTAACTAAAAAATTTCGATTATCCTATTCAAATTCCAGCATCTTTCTACCACTCTATCTGCAACCATACATCTTCTCCCTTTCCCTTCATTAACAATTTAGAAAGCCTGTCCTACCAAGACAAATTACTCCACCATTCCTCTTGGTTCTGAATATCATCTTCTCTAAGTCTCCTCAAATACTAGCATCTTTCAGTTATCTCCTAAATTTCAGCTGGATTATTTTCATCAGTATAAAAAGATGCTGTAATTTTTTCATCTTAAAAGCAAACAATCCTTCATGACCCCTTTTCTAGCTACCATCCTATTTCTCTGCTGTTCATCAAAGTTAAACTTTTTGAAGAAGCTGTCTGTCCCCTTTAGCATTCATTTTCAAACTACTCCAGTCTAGTTCTGCTCAGTCCATTTCCACCCCAGATGCAATGCAGTTGCTCTCTTCAGTATCAATTTCCAGGTGCTAAATCCAAGATCACCCATCTGCCCTCACTTGACTTCAACTCCCAGCGGCAGCACAGCTGACTCTTCTTGAAACATTATCTTCCTTTAGTTTCTGTGAATCCACTCTCTCTGTTTTCCTCCTACCGTCCAGTAGCTTTTCCAGCCACGGTTACTGGTTTCTCAATGACCTGCAAAGCTCCTGAGGTTTCTTTTGGTCTCTCTCTATACTTTGATCCTAGGTGATCTGATCAAATGCCAAGGCTGGAATATGTTAAGTACCCTGTAAATGCTCACAAGTCCCCAATTCACTCACAGACCTCTGAGCTCCAGAGGCACAGAGACCTCCATCTCTCTAACCTCCTGGCCTGTGTCACTCTCTACAATGGTCATCCACTTCCAAATACCAGATTGGTGTTTCAGTTCACTGAAGATGCTGAGCTCTTTCCCCTCAGGGCCTCAAATGCTATAGTCTCTGTCTGACACATTCTCTCCTCACTCTTCATGTGGCTACCATCTTCTCATCCTTCAGTCTCAGCTGAAATGTCATCACCCTTTTAAAAGCAGATAACCTCTCCCCATTTCTTCTCCTTTGTTGTTGTTGCTATTCCCTCTAGAGTACTTAAAAACTGCTTGCGCTTCAAACTCCCAATGGCTTTCCAATGACAACTACTACTCCTGACCTCCTCACCCTGCCCTCATTCACTCTGTACCAGCCACTTGCCTTCTTTCAGTTCCTGGAACATTCCAAACTTTCTTTCTGCCTCTGCATAAGCTCTCTGCCTGGAATGCCATTCTCCCTAATCTTTGCAAATCATTCAGGTTTTATCTTAAACGTCAGCTTCACAGGCCTTCTCCATCTACTCCATCTAAGGCAGTCATCTGGACACTCTCTCATATCACCCTGTTCTTTGACCAGCACTCAGTGTCCATGTTCTTGATCGTTTATTATGTTTCCTCACTGGAATATAAGCTATGTGAGAACAGTGATACTATCTTGTTCAGCACAGCATCTTTAGCACCCAAAGTGTCTGACACATAGCAGGTGCTTGATCCCTATTTGAATGAAACAACTGAACGAATGTACAAACCCTGCTATGTTGTTCTGATGTTATCTATTCCTTTCTGTACCAAAGACCTTCCCCATTCTTTTTTCCTTTTCTCTTTCGTAGTTTTCAACGTTCCCCAATTTTGTATCTTCCTGACCCTGCCTTTCCCTCAAGTTACAATTTTCTCTCGTTTTCTTTACAATTCAGCTTTGAGAGTATTTTACACTTAAGTCTCTACTTCATCCCCTCCTAATAACTCCTCAACCCAAGGTAACCTCTTGCCATCCCATTTTACTAGAACTGTTTTCAATATGGTCACCTAAACTTCTTTGACAAACTCAGTGGCTTTTCATCATTATTTACGTTATGTGATTGATCTGTCTCCAAAGCAGTGAAACTGGTGAGTGTTTTTTCCTTCTGAGACTTCCCCCCACCCTCAGTTTCTGGAAGTATAGTGCCTGATGTTTAATAAACCTTTGTTGAACTAACAATGTTTTTTTTTTTTTTTCTGTTTTCTTTCTACTTCACTCTTTCTAATATCTTTTGCTTTCTCCTCGTCTGACCACCCCTAAAATATCCATACTCGATGTTCAATTCTTTTCTTTTAAAATTGATAATGACGGTAGAAGAATCAGCTCACACTTTCTGGGTGCTTATTTACTCTTCCAAGTGCTTTCTCAGATGCCTTACCTTATTTAATTCTCACAACAATCTATGAGATAGGAATTCTTATTATCTACTGTATGTTTTTAATTTATCATGTGCCCAAGCACTAGGTTAAGGGAATGATTTACAGAGATGTCAAGTAACAAGGGAATGAGGTACAGAAATGTCAAGTAACTTTCCCAGCACACTAAATGGGCAGAATCAGATTTGAATTCAGGCACTCTAATTCCAAAGTATATATATTTAAGTATCATACTAGTGCCTACTTAAGCAATATAATACATATTTGTCTATATTTTTCTCCTTGGCTGATGTCATTCAATTCCCCACAGCCTCAACTGCCACCTATATGCCAACAACTTGCAATTGGTTTTGGCTCTAACTTCTTTTCAGAGTCACAGACCAATTTCTAACCACCTACTAGACAACTTCACCAGTATGTTACTAGAACCTCAATTCTGACATAGCCAAAGTTGAACACAAACACCACATTCCTCACAAACTTCCTTTTCATGCATCCCAGTGTTGGTAACTAACATCACACTCTAGCAAGTCGCTCAAGCCAAAATGCTCGGATGTGTTCCAAATATCTTCCCTTCTTCTGTGCCACACAGCCAAAGTCACCAAGGTTTGTCAAGTCCACTCCTCCCCCTCTAAATTTGTCCCCTTCCTCAGAACCCAGCCACGAATTTAGTTTAAGCATCAAGCATTTATTTGCAGGCTTGGATTATTGCAGTAGGCCTATAATAGCAAACTATTCACATCCCCTCCAGACTTGCCCTCCCTTTTCAGGCAATTTTCTGTACTGCCAAGAAAATTACTTTTCTAAAATTAACCTAGAAACTCTTGATGACTTCCTACTGCCCCCAAAATAAAATGTGAATTCCTTCCTTAGCATGGCATAAAAAGGACACTAGAGTTTGGTCTAGAGTCTGTTTCAGGTAGAATTTCTCAAGTACCCTAGTCTTCGCTGATCCCCAAAAAGACAGTGCATATTATTTTTATCTTTTGTTTCTTTGCATATCTATTTTTTTGCTGAGAACGCCTTTTCATCCTTTTCTCTTTACAAACTGACCCTTATCCTTTTAAGACCAGCTCAAACATTATCTGCTCTGTGAAACTTTCCTATATTTCTCCAGCAGAGGCATGTGCTATCCCATTCAGGACTTAACAATAAACTGCTGCTCATTTAAAGTTATCTTGAAGCATCTTAAACATGGTTTAATAATGAAAAACTCGTGAGAAAATTACCTTATAAAGCATCTGACTGAACAAAAGATTCAATGTTAAATACCTTCCAGTCCTTGGGATCAAGTGTTTTTAGCATGGGAAATTCCTCTAACTGCAATTCTTCATCTTCTGATTCTTCTGATAACTCTTTCTTATCCTCCAGTTCCTGAAAAGAGGCAGAAGCATTTCTGTTTCTCCTCTTAATGAAAGCTTCAAACCATCTTCCCACAGGTTCGACTTGACAGAGTGTTGAGGCTGTGATTGAAAGCGTTAAGAGAGGCTTCAATGTATTGCATGGAATAAATCTGTTTCAAGGCAATAAATAAGATCAAAACAGTGATAGTATCAGAATGTAACTTTAAAACTGCCAACTAAGAAAATAATTGCAGTGATCCAGTTAGCATGAGGGTTAGCAATAATCATTTCCTAGTATTTATAGAGTATTCAATCAACCTCTTCCAATTATCTGACAAAACAAAATATTCACCAATGTCAACAGTAAATCAATACTTTTCTGGGGATGTGAGAGGAAGGGGAGGAACAAGAAGTGTTGCAAACTGCTTTGCTTTTAGACTAGTAACTTTAATAAAGCAATACGTAATGAAAATCATAAAGATCATTGAAAACAAATAATCTAACAACAAATCAAAATATTTTAATTATTAGAAACTTGAATTCCAATAGCTTTTTAAAATTTTAAGAATTCAGTAAGAGTTATTTGTTCTGAAAGAATTTTCTAGCAGCTAATGGGGACTAACACTGTGCTATAGTGGAATAAGCTCTGTATCTGAAATCAAAAGCGCTGGATTTTATTCTAGGTCTGACAATTAGTGGCTGGCTATGTGAAATGAGTCAGAGATGTTTTCAACTCAAAATGGGAATAAAATCTATCTTATATGGTTCCTTGGGAGGTTGAATGACAAACCATGAAAGCACTTTGAAAAATCACAAATTGTTGCACAAAAGTAAGGCTTTATTATCATTCCTGGGAAGTGGGGGTAAATCACTGTACACTTGTATATTCAACATTTCAAAAAATGTAAGTTAGGTCAGGAAAAGCAGTGAACGTTTTAATATTAATTTCATATTCCATATGAAAGCAAAAAGCTTTACTTTGTTCAGTAATAACTCAGATGTAAGTTTTCCCTTGTACCCAATGGCCATGATTTTCTAAAAATAACTGACTTTTTAAAATTGGTTTAGGGAATTAAGATTTCCTCTACCATACACGGCATAGGATTCAAGCAGTATGTTCAAGTACTACCTGTGTAGTGTGTGACTTTTAAGAAAATCACCTTTCAAGCCTTTCCCTCTAGTTTTAAGATTACACACAGAGACTTCCATGAGCACAAACGCAACATGTGCCATAATACATTCAAAATAACATTCAACAGCGTCTTATATAACCGGCTATGGTAATTAATGCAGTTCAATGAAACTGGAGACTTTTAAGTTTACAATACCTACTACGGTCCTGGGCTATAATCTATGAACTTACGACAGCAGGGCAAGTTTCACTTAATGGCTGTATTTAAAAGTCTTTCTATACGTATCATACCAGGAGCACGGGTAATGGTCTTTTCATACTGAGTATGAGGAGCAGTGTCTGAATCATGACATTTTGAAAAGACAAACCCGGAGCAAACGGAGACAGGGAAGAAAGGTGTTACAGCATTGGCATAAAGGCTTTGTACGACCTCAGGCACGTGGGAAGCTCGCAGCGGGCAGCCTCTTGCCAGGGGCAAAGAGATGCTTAAAGAACCTTTTGGGGGTACTGGAGGGTTCGGTTCCGAATTGCTCCTCCCGACCCATGAGTCAGCGGCCGCAGGAAGAGGACGAAACTGCAGGGGCAGAAAGAAGACGTCCCCCTCTCGTTCCATCCAGTTTGGGGAGGGATTACTGAATAGCTGGGAGCAAAAAGGCACCCGTCACGGGCCCACACGTCCGGAAGGCAGTCACCAGGGGCAAGGGCAGAGAGATTTCGGGGTCGCGGAGGTGGACGGCTGAGGCAGGGGAGACTGAGGCAGGACGGAGCCGGGGTCGAGTGGACACGTACCAGAGGTCAGAGCGTGGGTGATGGCGGTGCCCTGGCCGGCCGCAGCGCCCGGCAGGAGCAGCATGGTGGCGTAGGAGCCAGCCCCGCGGGCGCGGCGGTTCGCGTCCCGGGCGGAGGGCGCTTAAGCGTCCCCTCCAGCTCTACCTCCCCGTCCGAGCCTCGCGCCTAGGACCTACGACGCCCAGGAACCGGCGCATGGAGACAACCACTAACTACTTCCGGGATGGTTCTTTCGTGGAGCCCGGGCCAATTCCACCTCCACCCGCGCCAACGTGTGCGGCAGCCTTGTTCTGCCACTGACTCAGATCCGGTTGGGGACCAGGACTCATGAAAGAAAGGTTCCTACACTCATCAGTTCCTAGGTAAAAAGGATTAACAAATTTCCTCGTCCAGGTGCAATACGTAGAACATAATTTTCTAAAGCAGTTCTTATTATTATATTCTTTTTACTTTAAGTTACTGTCATTCAATATATTAGTCTGAACCTAACCGCTGATATTTCCAGTAGCTCTATCTGCAGAATCAAAAATGAAAAGATGTGTTTTCATTGAGAATGGTTATAGTCTATACATACATGGATAATTCTATTCCTGTAATGCATTTATGTTTACGGAAATAATAGCAGCTTTCATTTGTTGTGCTGTTACCAAGTAATTTACCTGCATTATCTCTTTTAATTCAAATAATATTTGGAGAAGAAACCCTTCTCTAGGTTTAGAATCTAACCCAAGCCGGCAACTTTTTATCCTGCTCTAATAGTATAAAGTTTTCTGTAAAGATATTACCAATTACAGGACTCTGGAACTTAATCATTTAGTGTATAATAAAATCAATTGTACTCCCACTATATGATTTATTTTTGGACTGAGGTCAAAAGCAAGAACTAGCAAAAGGAAACTAGTGGGTAAAGATTTGCCTCCTTATTCCCTGGTCTCTCCAATTTACCCACCCCAATCTGGAATAGGCTGGGCAAAATAGAAGACTTGATGTGCCACTCTTTGGGAAGGAGCACCAGAAATTAGGAAATTATTCTCTAGGAATTACATCTTCACTGTTAAATACAAGGAATTGGCCTGTAATTCTATCGCATTGACATTTCAAAAACTAATCACCTCTTTATTCCTCTTCCTGACCTTTATTAATTATATTGGTGTTAAAACAGGCTCTAAGTCTGAAAGTAACCTGACTCCACTTTCTTAATAGAAATAATTTTTTCTCATACCTTCCCCATCCAGTCTCACTATAGCCTTTAAGGTAAGGTCATGGAGGGCTTTTTAAAAAAATTGTGGTAACATGCACATAACATAAAATTCACATCTTAACCATTTTAAACTGTAATGTTAAGTATATTCACTGTGTTGTTCAACAGTCTCCAGAATTCATCTTGCAAAACTGAAACTCAATACTTATTAAACAATTCCCTATTTCCATCCCTCCATGATTCGACTATCATGGGTTCCTTACATAAGTAGAAACATACGGTATTTGTGCTTGGTTTATTCATTTAGCATAATGTCCTCACGATTGTATTGTCAGAATCTTTCCTTTTTAAGTCTCTATAACATTCAATTTTATGTACATTTTATTAGTCCATTCATCTGTAGATTAGCTTGCTTCTACTTTGGGGCATTGTGAATAATGCTGCTATGAACATGGAGATACAAGTATCTCCCGGAGATCTTGCTTTAGTTCTTTGGGGTGTATACTCAGAACTGAAATAGATGGATCATATGGCACCTATTTTTAATTTTTTGAGGAACTGCCATACTGTTTTCCATAGTGGTTACACCACTTTACCACTAACTGTGCACAAGGTTTCCATTTTCTCCACAACCTCACCAAACCCTTAGTTTCTTTTTTTTTATAGTCACCATTCTAATGGGTATGAGGTGGCACCCAATTTTGAACTTTCCCAGTGGCTAGTGATTTTGAGAATTTTTTCACATGCTTATTGGGCATTTAAGTATCTTCTTTGGAGAGCTATCTAATCAAGTCCACACCCCGTTTTAAAAATTGGGCTTTTTTCTTGTTCTTGAGTTACAGTTCATTATGTATTCTGTATATTAACCCATTATCAGATATATGACATGCAAACTTTTTTTTCCCATCTCCTACAATACCTTTTCACTCTCTGTCCTTTAATTCTCAGACGGGTCAGACTTTTCTTAAGTTTCTCATTTCTAGTTGTCTCCTAGCTGCCCTCTTCCATTCCTCATCTCCCAAACTCATTTCTTTCAAAACCTCTTTTCCAACTTCCTTGTAGGAGGATGGTATCACTCTGCTTTGGCAGTGGGCTCAAGAATGAAACCATTTACCTCCTCATCCCCTAGGTAACATCAAGTTAATGAACGACTTCTATTTGCTTTCACTATATTTGCGTATCTAGCCGCTATTATTAGGTTTCTAATATGCCAGGTACTTTACACACTTATTTAAAGCCCCCACAATACTGTGAGGTAAAGGGGAAAGAAATTAAAGTACATAGAGGTTTAAAAAGTTACCCAAGAGTGCACAGTGAATAAATGACTAAATCGGGGTTTAAACTCAAGGAATGAGCCAGGGTTGGTTTTGAAATCTGTTGCTCAGGGAACTTCGCCGTGGTGAGGGCCAGGATAGACCCAGCTGTCTCCTAACAGGTAATTATTCTTACACCCTGTAACGGCGACCTGGACGCCAGCGTGAGTCTCCACTGCTCTTTTCCGTCTCTCTGGCTGCTAGTAAAAGCGCCAGAGAGGTCAGCTTTACTTCCGGGGAGGAAGGGAAAGGGAGGGACCACCGGAAGTGGGGAAGGTGCTGTGTAATCCGTAAGGAGTCGAGGCACTTGGATCTTCTAAAATGCCGGATTACCTCGGTGCCGATCAGCGGAAAACCAAAGAGGATGAGAAAGACGACAAGCCCATCCGAGGTCAGTCGACAAAGGCAGGAGCTCCGGCCCGATTTAGGAGCAGGCTTGGCCCTGGAGGGGAGGCTGGATTTCTGCTCCGTTCTCGGTCCCTTTTATGCCGTTTGTGATTTGGTTTGCCCTTGGTCTGGGGCGCCAGCCGGTTAACCTGCCTGCCTTCTCTCTCCCTCATCTAGCTCCAAATCCTATAATTATCTTCCACTGGCCGAAATTTTTATTCATGTTCAGCTTTCAGGTCTTGAAGAAGTCACGCACCCTGCTTGGCCTTGCAGGCCTTGAAGTCCCGCCTGGCGGAACTTGGTTACTTGGATCCTCATTCCTGTCCCTCATCCCTCTCAAGTGTGACAGCTACTATCACTGTGTAGCCAGGATCCTGAGACATAATTCTCTTTAAAAAAAATTCCTTTGACTAGATAATACATGTGCATGCCTAAAACTCAAAAGGCCGAAAAAAGTACATTAAAGTGTCTCATTCTTGGCTCCAGCCACCCATTTATCCACGGAGACAGCTAATGTTGCATTTTGCGTTATCTTTCTAGACATTTTCTATGCATGTACAAGCAAATTTGCTTACATATTCCTTTTTACATAATTGTAGCATGCTGTACATCTTGCTTTTTTCAATCTTAATGTATTTTAAGGATAAGTTCATATTATATAGTCAGTGTTGTCTGCATCCCACTTTATTAGATATACAGTGATGTATGTAATTATTATTGTTGGACATTTAGATTTCTCCCAATCTGTTGGCCGTTTTAGAGCAATGAATAACCTTGTTCATGTAACTTTCACCACATACACAAAAAGGGTAAATTTTGGAAATGGAGTTGTAATTTAATAGACAATGCCAAATTACTCTCCTTAGAAACTATAACACTTTTACCCACCATTTTCATACATGATTTCTTCCCAGTAATCCCTTTTGTTGTCTTATCTTTCTGCCGTTTTCTTTTTTGGTTCTTTATAGGCTATTTTAAGCATTCTTGTGATGGCTTTTTCCTGTCTTTTACTCTTGCCTTGCTAAACAACTTCAACCTCTCATAGCACCCTTCTCCATTTCTACCCTCCCTCCAAAGAAACATTTTCTCTCTACTTTCATCTAATAATCTGTTTCCCTTGAAAATATTTTAGGACACTGCAAACCTCAGAGGTACTCAGTCACCTAATTGACAACTTAATTACAGAAATTTAACATTTCATCTGTGCATTTCTCTGGATGTGTTACTCTGTAAATGTATTAATTTATCTCTTGAATACATTTAAGACTAATGTGTATAGAATTTTATGTGCTTCTTCATCCATATCTTATTTGATCTTTGTAGCAATACTATGAAGGTATATTGGTATTATCTCTATTTTTCAGTTGAGAAAACTGATGCTTAGAGAAATTAAATGGTTTTTCCAAGGTTACGTAGCAAATGATAACGTTGCTGAGACTAGTGCCAGGTTGTTTTCATTCTCAAACTCTGTTTTTGGGCTCCCTATTCTTGTGTCGCATCACTTTGAGACTCTTCAGCAGCTATATTATGTGTTTTTTTTTAAATCCGCCTTTACCCAATTAGATAAAATATTCTTGATTACAAGAATTATTTGATAGTTGTATGTATACGATAACTTGGCACAATTTTTCTCACTCTACTAATGCAGTTTGAATTGAGCAGAAAATTGTTATCTCTAGTTTTTTATGTTTGAATCTCATGTATTGTCTCTTCTTTCAGCTCTGGATGAGGGAGATATTGCCTTGTTGAAAACTTATGTAAGTCCTTTGAATGTCCATAAAATATAGATATTTTATGTTGAAATAAGAACTATTGTTGGTATTACTCTTCCAAAATAATTAAAGAGGATGTCTAGCAGTTTATAGTAATCCTAACTGGAAAAAGTTACCTACCTACAGTTTCTGTCTAGGATAGATCAGAATGTCAATGTGTCTAAGTTTATACATTATTTTTATACTATTTGTAATTGAAATGTACTATATTGAAAAACATTTGAAATAATTTACACAAATGTTTACTGTATTTAAAATGTATGTCAATGTTAAATGTTTTTATAGTTTAATAAATTACTAATTTCCTGATATTCTAATTAAACTGATCTTTATCTTCTAGGGTCAGAGCACTTACTCTAGGCAGATCAAGCAGGTTGAAGATGACATTCAACAACTTCTCAAGAAAATTAATGAGCTCACTGGTATGTGTATATATATATAAGTGTATAT